TGCACCATTTTACATTCCTACCAGCAGTTCATGAGAGTTTCAGTTTTATCACGCCTCGCCAAAACTTACTATCTTTTTCATCATAGCCATCGTTGTAGGTGTAAACCAGGACCTCATTTGGTTTTTATTTGTATTTCAGTGATGGCTAATGATGTTGAGCATCTTTTCATGTGCTTATTTGCCTTTTGCATATCTACTTTGGAGAAATGTCTATTCAAATCCTTTGCTTTTTAAAAAAAATTTGGTTAAAATTGTTGAGTTGCAAGAGTTCTTTATACATTATGGATACAAGTTTCTTATTAGATATACAATCTCCAAATATTTTCTCCAATTTTGTGGGGGTTTTCACTTTTTTGATGGTATCCTTTGAAGCACAAAGTTTTAAATTTTTATGACGTCCAATTAATCTATTTTTTCTTTTGCCACTTGTGCTTTCGGTATATCTAAGAAGGTGTTACCTAACCCAAGGTCATAAGGCCTTACTCCTATGTTTTCTTCTATGAGTTTTATAGTTTAACTCTTGTAGTTAGATCTATGATCCATTTAGAGTTAATTTTTATGCATGTTGTAAGGAAAATGTCTGACATCATTCTTTTACATGTGGATATCCAGTTGTCCCCGCACCATTTGTCAAGAGAGGGATCTTTTTAATTATTCCCTTTGTTTTATCTTTTATTCCAACCTGTTAATCAAGTTTTGTCCTTTTTCCCTTTAAAATGTCTGTCACTGTTTCACTACCACACCAGTTCCCAGATTAGGCCTTTACCATCTCACACAGAGATATCTGCATCCATGTTTATCCTTCCAAGCCCTCAGCAAGCCAAACTTCCTGAAGAAGGAAATTTAAGAAATGAATTGAATTTATGTAATTCACCTGCTCAGGAGCCTAAAGTCCTACTACTGAATACATATAGCATCAGGGCCAAACTCTTCTCTCTGATTTTCTAATACGGCCCCACCCAGTTTATACCAGCAAATCAAAGATGCAAAATTTCATCTTCCATGGTTATTCAGCTCCTCCCTGAAGGGGAGTTCTCCTTCCTGGCTGTACTTTCCCCTCCATTCTATGAACCCAATTAAAATTGCATAGGTCCTTAAAGGCTCCTTCAAACCCCAGCTCCCTGATAAACCTCCCTTAACTAACCCAGCCTTTGCCAGTGCTCTCCTCTGTGTCCCTACTGCATTTGTGTGTTCTGTAGCACCAATCACTATGCAGGTAACACTGGTACACCCAATTCTACACTACCACCCAACACCGATAAGCATCTATTGAATAGCTACTGAAGTTCACAGCACTGAACAGACATGACACATGTATGTGAACATTGTTTCCTTCTGCTGTCAAGTGGGGGAGTCTAACTGGATGAGATAAAGTATCCCTCCTAGATTTAGAATTCCACTTCTTCCTCCATTACATACTGATCCAAATTTGAAGAGTAAGCTTAAAGTTAACTCAAGGTTTCTAACTGAAACTTTCCAAAGCCAAGCCAGTGTTTTCCAAAGATTCCCAGCATTGTAATTCCTTGCTACAAAATGCTCTCGGCTGTAATAACGATCCCGGCCCTGTTTCAGACGCAAGCATTAGGGCATCTGTGATTTGGTTTGCAGTTTAAACTGTGAGATGGCTCCAAACCCTCACAGTTAAGAGTGTGTCCGATTGCAACACCCCCCCGCACCCACCACTATTTAAAAAAAAAAAAAACAACTTTCAAATTGAAGAGGCAAAGTTTGATCTCTTCCCTGTTGAGAGCTGAAAACAATAGCAGCTTTCTGCTCTAGCATACCTTCAAAAGGCTGCCGAGTGACTGCTCTAAGAATACTTGGTTGTAGATGACCGAAGAAACGCACCGGCCTCCTCCTGCGACTCTGCTCTGCTAGCACGAGGGAAATTCTGCCCCCTCCCCTCCCAGCACCTTTAATAAAACAACGACTGGTACTGTATTAACTAGGCGGATGCGCGATCTTGGAAGGTTAAGGCTTTGGCAGACAAGGGGCGAGACTGGGAGGTCAAGCAACACCTTGCTGTAAAGAGCCGGTGAATTAAGAATTTGTCGAAATGACCTAAATCATGTACAGATTTTTTAAAAGTCAACTGAAAATGGGAGACCGGTTGGATTGACCCCAGGGGCAGGAGTCCCCGGTTGCTGCAAGAAAATGCCTGAGGCGAGGTACCAGGCTCGGCGCGAAGTTGCAGCCCCAGAGCTCTCAGTAAACACTTTTTTTTTCCTGGAGTAGATTCCGGAGCGCGCACACCAGGTCAGTCCATCACGCTAATGCCTGTGCGGGTTCACCTACCCGCCTCTCCTCGCAGGTAGCACCTGGTCAGCACTTGCCTGCCCGCGAAGAAACCGCGAGGCCAACTTCTCAGCCTCGGAACCCTGCTGCACGGAGAGCTACTAGGAGAACGGCTCCACTGCGCCAGCAGCCGCCGGGAGGCTGGTATTCCGCCTCCCCGCCCCCCCTCGCCGTAGTTAAAGTTTGCTCCCCATTCGCCGCTTCCCACCCCCGCCCCCTGCCTCCGCCCTCGGGCTGGAGGACCACAGAGGAGTTCCTGGGTCCTCGGTGCACAAACACACCCACCAACAAAAAAAGCCCATTAAATCTTCCCTCCTGCGAACTCGCGCCCCAGCGGATACCTCTTTGAACTGACCCCACCCCCGAAGCTCCCGCAGCCCCCGCGCCGTCTGGGGATCGCCCAGCCCTCCTGGGCTCACTCCCTCCTCCCGGCTGCGTACTTTTGCAGCGCGCTTGGTCTTTGATGTCTCTTTACATTATGGCAGAGCAGCCACACGCTCTTCCCGGGCGCAGGGCTTTGTGTAACGGAACTGACATTTGGCCTTAATACCTGTATCTCTTGGTGATTGCAACAAATTTCAAAAATAAATATTGTACTTTGATCTCCCGGCATTGCATTTTTAATGGACGCTCCGAACAGTACTTCATTAAGGATAAGTTTTTCAGGAGCCCCGAGTGCAAAGGGAGAGAGGCTAAACAGCACTTTGTGAAAGTCTCTCTCCAGACTTCAGCTTGCGCCTGGGAGGGCTGGAATCCCGGCGGGTGTTCACAAATGGAGGAGAGGCCCAGAGCCAGGACTTCAAACAGTCAAGGGAGGGCCTACCGTGCACCCGCACAATCCTAAATACTTTGAATGTATTTACCTCTTTTAAGCCTACAAGGACTCTACAAGGTGAGCATTGCTATAACCCCCATTTTACAAATTGGGAAACTGAGGCACAAAGCGGTTGTGTAAGTTGCTGGCCCAGGTCATCAGCCAGGTCATCAACTAGAAAGTGGCATCTAGAAATCGGCCTTCAGATTCTCAGAGTTGGAGCTCTTAACACCAACCCACTACTCTCTCCCTGCTGGCCACTGATGGTGGCTTATTGGCTAACGGGGCATCTTGGAGAAAAAGTTCTCTTCTATAACAACTATGGAGATGTGAATTGGCTTCTCTTGCCTTTTTGTTAAAATAGTGAACAGATTCGGCAAACGAGAATGCCTCCTAGCCTGCTTGGCCCAGCCTGGCCTGCAACCACCGATAGTGGAGGTCGAAGAGCCCAAAGGAGCCCGAGAGGAAACTCACTAAGGGACCAGGCCCGCTTCGACAGTGCCGACAGGTGCCTGTGTGTGTGTGTGTGCACCATGGGACCCCCGGCCTCTGACTTGCAGGCGGGAAAGGGCTCCTTCCCCTTCCAGGCTTCGCGGGTAATCGATTTTCTGGACGCAGTGTGGACAAGTGTAGGTCTTCCGGGCCTCCGGAGCAAAACACTAAGTCCCCTCTCATTCCTAGCTCCCAGAGCACTCGGACCTCCTCTTCAGGAGCCAGACCGCGTCGGCCGAGCTGTGCAGTCACTGCTCACCGTTCCTGGGTGACACCTTGTTGCAGAGAAGAGGGGCGTGCAAGGACGGGACTCGAGAAGTGCTCAAGCATAGTATTGGGGCTGCATTCGGCCCATTCGCCTTCAGCAAGATGTTTCTATTTTGCTGGCCGGCCCTGGGTGTGGGGAAATGGCCTGGTGGCATAGTGTCCTGACCCCTAATGCGAGTGCAGAGGGCACCAATACACAGCCCAGACTCCGAATCAGAAGCCTTTTGGTGTTGGGGTAACCGCTGGCGCCGCACGGCGAGTTGGACCACCTGATCCGACCTCTCCACGTCAGTCCCGGCTGCTGTGCGGTACCCGGGAGGACCATACGCAGGAAGCCTGGGCGCGAGTTGGCTCAGAGGATCCCTGCCCGGTCGGCCGCGTCGCAGAGAGGAGGCGGTGTACCCGGACGCCGCAAGTGGAGCGGGGTTGGCCAAGCGCAGGCGGCCCACTCTGCTGCGCCGTTCCACGGAGCGTGGCCGCCGGCTGGAGGCCTCAGAGGCCATTCCCGGCCCTAATGCCCTCCAGCGCGGTGAGGACACCGAGACGCCGCTCCTGCTCTCCCGGGTGAGGAGATCTGGGTGTCCGTACCTCCCCTGCAGGACGCATCTTGCGCCGTGGGCCGGAGGAAGGCAGGTGGCCTGCCGTCCCTCCTGGGCCAGGCATGACTGGCAGCGAGGGTTTGGGGAGACCACACTCTGGAGAGCGTTTTCCTGACCCCAGCGAAGCACGGCCCTCGCCTGAAGAAATTTCTTTTCTTTACAAAGGTGCTGGGAACAACAGTTTTTATTGACTTTTCTTTCCGATTAGGGAGCCACCCTCGTACTATCTGTGGTTTGCTCAACAAGAACAGCTACGGTCTTCCTCCACCGCGCCTTACTTTTTTCGGTTAGTTCCCTGTAGGTGTGTGCGGCTTGCAGGCGTGCGCACTTGCCTGGCCGGGCTTGGCGCCGGGGTGGGGATTTCTAGCATCTCTGTGGGTTTCGGTGGGGCTTAATAGCGGTCAGCTTGCCTGCTCCGAGAGAGAAGAGCAAGACACCAAACATTTCCCCCTCGAGTTGCTCTGAGTGTCCCGCCAAGCTTAGCTTTGGGGGTAAGCGTGGCCCGGGTGTATTTCGCAGGCTCACTATTTGCAAAAGTTGTGGCCAGAGAACTTCCAGGTCGCCAGCCGGAACGTCGCAAGAGGGGCGGGCGGCCCTGGAGCGTGCGCGCCACCCACCGCCGCCCTGGGCGGCCGCCCGGCCCCGCCCCGGGTCCCAGGGCTGCTCACCGCTCCGCGGGGGCTGGGCTGGGGGAGGAAGGGGGAGCATGAGGCGGGCGGGGCGCAGGGCGTGCCACGTTCAGCCCCGGGAATTCCCTCGGGTCCAAGGTGTGCTCGGGTTGACGACGTGCTCGGGCCGGTGCCTGTGCTGTCCGGGTGCCGGGTGTGTAAGTACCGGGGGCGGAGAGGAGAGAATTACCCTCATCTTCGTCTCCAAGTCCCGCGCCTGGAAGCCGAAGGCAGATTTCTCTGGAGATAGCAAAGATACTTTGTCACTTTGGGCGCTGCCTTGGCGCAAATCTTTAATTGCAAGGGAGCGGGGGGGGGGGCGGCGGGAGAGGGGGATAGAGTGTCTCAAGCAACCCAAGCGCGGGTCTCTAGGCGGCAAGGCCCCCTTTGATCAGGAAAATCCAATTATTTGTGTATATACATTTCCCACATAGTGATTACTTCATTAATTGTCCCGCCTTTATCTCCTCCCTTCCCATCCCCCCTAATAATCAGTTCTTTTATCCAGACCAACAAACACACCATAGGAGCTTTGTGGATTCAAAGGATTTGCTTTCGCTTCTGAAAGAGCCGCTATTCTTTGATGATTGGGTAGCGGCAAACTTCAAAGCCATAAATCTTCCCTCTGACTGGCTGGCGGCCCAGCAAAGTCCTTATCAAATTCTTGGAGGTGAGCCTGAAGCGCTCAGACCGCTCGCGGGGCGAGCGAGCGGGTTGCGGCGAGGGGCGCGGGCGGGGAGGGCCCCTGCGCGCAGAGAGGGCGCCCAGGAGGGACGCTAAGGCGGCCCTTCGTCCTCGCCTTCGGGTCTCCATGCCTCAGCAGCGCCCTGCTCCTCAGCCAACGGCCCGCAAGCCATAGCCATGGCCGCCGTGGCCGTCCTCCGGAACGACTCGCTGCAGGCCTTCCTCCAGGTCAGGGCTGGGCTCGGAGGGGGCGAGGGAAAGGTGGGAAGGGTCATGTCTGGATCTTTCCTGATATTCTGTGCACCCTGAATTTCAAAGGGAATCCCGCTCGGTGGACACCAATGGAGTGAGACCTAGGGGTGCCCACACCAACTTCACACTGAACCCTGGTGTCAAGAGTGTGGCCTTTGGGGGAGGGACGCGCGTATCCAGGGCTTGTTCGGAGGTGCGCGTCTGGCTGAGAACCGGTCCCAGCTCACCCCGCTGGGCCCTCCTGGGGCGGGCGGAGGAGGAGCGCGAGAGTAGCGTGGAAATGAGAGCTTAAAAGATGGGAGGGAAGGCGGATGGGCATCCGGGCTGTGGGTGTTTCCAGACCCTTTCTGGCCGCGGAGCCGGGAGTGGCCCGTCGGATCTCTCTCCCCTCCCACTTTGTGCCTGTCTTCCTCTGAGGCTAGATGGCGTCTCTTTGCACCAAGTAGTTTCACAGGAAGCGCTCCCGCGCTCCGCGTCCAGGTAGCGCAAGCACCAAAAGTTTCCCGGGACTGGTGGGTGCGTGCGTGGTGTGCGGTGGCGGGGGAGGGACACCCAGGACGGGGGAGGGGCGGCGGTATAATAGCCGGCGTGGGTGTGGCGGGCCGGCCCGGAGACCGCGCTTGGAGCGCTAACCTTTTGTCTCTTCTCCGCCCTCCCGTGCCGCCGCCTATGCAGGACCGCACCCCCAGCGCCTCCCCAGACCTGGGCAAGCATTCGCCCCTGGCGCTGCTAGCCGCCACCTGTAGCCGGATTGGCCAGCCGGGCGCTACGGCGCCCCCGGACTTCCTGCAGGTGTCCTACGACCCCGCGCTGGGCTCGCCCTCCAGGCTCTTTCACCCGTGGACCGCCGACATGCCGGCGCACTCGCCCGGCACGCTGCCATCCCCGCACCCCAGCCTGGGGCTGACGCCGCAGAAAACGCACCTGCAGCCGTCCTTCGGGGCGGCGCATGAGCTGCCGCTTACACCCCCTGCAGACCCCTCGTACCCCTACGAGTTCTCACCGGTGAAGATGCTGCCCTCGAGTATGGCGGCGCTGCCCGCCAGCTGCGCGCCCGCCTACGTGCCCTACGCGGCCCAGGCCGCGCTGCCGCCCGGCTACTCCAACTTGCTGCCGCCGCCCCCGCCGCCTCCGCCGCCCACGTGCCGCCAGCTGTCCCCCAACTCGGCCCCCGACGACCTCCCGTGGTGGAGTATCCCGCAGGCCGGCACCGGTCCGGGAACCTCGGGGGTTCCGGGGGGCAGCCTCTCCGGCGCCTGTGCGGGGGGGCCCCACGCGCCCCGCTTCCCGGCCTCAGCGGCCGCCGCTGCCGCCGCCGCCGCCGCCGCCGCGCTGCAGCGGGGCCTGGTGTTGGGCCCGTCGGACTTCGCGCAATACCAGAGTCAGATCGCTGCGCTGCTGCAAACCAAGGCCCCCCTGGCGGCCACGGCCAGGAGGTGCCGTCGCTGCCGCTGCCCCAACTGCCAGGCGGCGGGCGGCGCCCCGGAGGCAGAGCCGGGCAAGAAGAAGCAGCACGTGTGCCACGTGCCAGGCTGCGGCAAGGTGTACGGCAAGACGTCGCACCTGAAGGCGCACCTGCGCTGGCACACGGGCGAGCGGCCCTTCGTGTGCAACTGGCTCTTCTGCGGCAAGAGCTTCACGCGCTCGGACGAGCTGCAGCGGCACCTGAGGACTCACACAGGCGAGAAGCGCTTCGCCTGTCCCGAGTGCGGCAAGCGCTTCATGCGCAGCGACCACCTCGCCAAGCACGTCAAGACGCACCAGAATAAGAAGCTCAAAGTTGCTGAGGCCGGAGTCAAGCGGGAGGACCCGCGGGACCTGTAAGACCACCCGGGGGCGCCTCGATGCCTCTCCTGCCTCGGGCTCCCTACCCAGCACCTCTTCGGAGAGGTTCCGGTGGCCTGTGGGCAGCCGGCCGAGAGGAGACCCAACTGAGGCACTTACTTGCCCCTTTCTGCTTGCCTGCCTCCCAAAAACGACGCCAGGCCTCCAGCTCCCTGGCCGGCCTGCGGACAAGGACCGTGTGCCCAGGAAGAGCAGGGGAGGTAGGGTTGAGAGCTCTGTGTCACGAAAGAGCAGTTTCAGGCTCTGAACCATTCCCACCATCTGGGAGACTACAGTTTGGGGGGACTACCCTGGGCTGACCTCTGTATATAGGAAACGCTGCTGAAATCAAAGCGGAAGAACCTTGAGAGATTTGAAATAGTGCTGTGTTTTTTGCTAGGACTGGGCCGGGCTTTGTACAGGTTATTTAATAGCTTTCTTAAAGAATAATTATAATAATTATAACATTAATTAAAATGTTACTTTTGTCCTCAGCTCCATGCAGAGCTACAGCATGAAATGTCTCTGTAAAGCAATCAGCAGTTGCAGCGTGAAAATAAATACGTTAACTCCGGGGTCACCTCGGGAAGACCCCGCTGAGCCGGTCTCATTTGATCTTTTCTCCTTCCGGGAGGCTTTACAAAGCTGTCAGGTTTCACCGGGAATTTGAAGGCTCCTGTAGGCTGCCTCTGTCGGAGACTTCTTTGGTTTGGAAGGTTCTGGGCAAGTGTGTCGGGTGCAAAGATGCAGAAAGTAGGAGGGCAGGGTCAGTTTTGTGGTAAAGAGATTAGGGCAAGATTTTCCAGTCCCACCTTGAGTTTCTCACGCGGCCTTAGGACTTGACCAGAGACTGTCGGGCTTCTCTTAAAAGTTGATACCTGCTGCACATACAATACACGATCTTTTTATCTGGCGAATTGCCTGTGGCTTTTCATTTGTTGGTACTCTCAGAGGTCACAGGCGAGCTGCGCTTCCTCCTGGCAGCCGGCTATGCTGCTGTCTGCAGGGGTACTACTATCTCGAGGGTCTGTTCACAGATGAGATTTTGGAGAGTTACAGAGAAACTAGGGGCCCTTGTTCAGGTTGATCTTTGCTTGGGAAAGAAGCGGCTCTCCTGTATTTCAGCCCCGTCATGATACACAGCCTTGTCTTGCTTGTTTTCTTCTTAATCCTTTTGCTGTGGCAATCTTACCAGTCTTGTTTCACAATAGCCTCTTAGGGATTTCTGTTTAGGCCTGGAAGTTTAGTTCCATTTTGTGTCTTGGGACTTTATTTTTTCAATCACTGCAGTAGACTAAGATTTTCTCAGGGAGGAGCCAGGAATACTCATATCTAGGTTTCTCACCTGTCTCTAAAATGTGAAGTTTTAAATGTGAAGTTTACAAGTGTTTTTTCAACTCGGCTGACTCCTGGATGTTTTCTAATATGTGAGTTTTTAACCTGAAACCAAAACCTTAATCTTCTGATTTAGAACTAGCAAAGAAAAGAAATTGTTCTCAATTTTGTTACTATGTTAAACTGGCTGGCATCATTAATGCCAAATTTCAGTCGAGCTGAATAATTTTTTCATGGTAGTAGAAGTGTATATAAATTGATAGGATTTCACAGTTTACACACGGCTGTTACCTTGCCTTTCGTTTGAAGTCAAGCTGAAGGGTAAGTTCTTAAAAACCAGGAGGGTTGTGCTTGAGACTTACTGTATTAAGTAAAACTCAACCAGCAACATAGTTGAGGTGAAAATTACTTTTATACTCCTAAGAAATAGCATTTTTACTTTGTAACTTGGGACAAGGTGGTAACTACTAAAATCATTGTGGGACTATGCCTTAGAACCTGTTACTCTCATTAGAGATTTTGGAACTATTGAATGACAAAATGGAATGTGAGTCTTTAGGGTTCTTTACCTGGAAAGGGCAGTTTGGGCTGGCTAAATTCTCAAGGCTGTGACAGTTTTGCAAGCAATAGCAATAAGAAAGTTGCTACACAGTAACATTAATATGCATTTAAATGTGTAATCTTAATCTACATCAAGATTGTTGAGAATAATTTCTGTGAAGAGTTACAGAAACTCTCACATCTGAACCATGCCCTGGGATTGACTTCAGAGCCGGAAAAGGTTTTTTGGCAGATGACAGGGAAAGAGGAGTCCTTGTTAGAGAGTGAAAAGACCAAGGACTTTCTTTGGAAAATTTGAAACGATTCTCTCACGTGAAAGAAAATGCCCTTGGTAGAGAAAGAAAACTGGCAATTTTGAAGTGACTCTACTAGCTATTATTGACAGCTACGATCATTTAGCATCCAAACAGGTGAAGTGTTGAAGATAAAATTTCCTTATAACTTTAACTTTGTTGTTAAGAGAGAAAATAGGTAAAATGTATGAAATTTTGTATCTAAACAGATAAGGTGTTGAAGATAGTTTTCCTATAACTTTGTGGTGGTTAAGAGAAAGATAAAATATATGGAATTTATCTAAAAATACAATATTTATAATTTTAAAAAGCAGAATGAAGTCATTTGATGACAAATCACTTTCTTAGTTTTTAGGTAATTGAACCTGCAAATTTTAAAAGTTTGGTAAAAGTATAGACTCTAGACTGAAGACTGTTCCTTATTGTCAGTGCAAATCTGTGTTCCAGTTACTTTAGAAAAAAATATTTATGCCATTATCCAAATAGAAGCCAGGAAGTCACAATAATGTGATCTTATTATCCAAGTGTAGGAAAACATTTCATGTTTATACTGAAAAATAAGCTAATAAATGCTCAGAAATACAAGTTTGACAATGAAGAAATGTATTAGATTCTGTAAGCTTTTAAAATGTGAACTGCTGCTGCATGCTTTATTTGGTTCATAAAACTGCAACCTACTATGGTATTATCCATTTATAACGTTAAAAAATTATTATAAAATAAATCAGTATGCAAGAAATATATGCATAAATGCTGTAAATTAAGCACATTTAATTTAATTTTAATGACATTCAAATTAAAAGAAGTTCAGAAGCAAATTACTTTTAAATGTAAACTGAAATTTATTTTTTATTTGGAATTTTGCCATCATCAAAAAAGAAAGTTTAATCCACCAACTGAATTCAAGTCTTTACTTAAGAACCCCAGAACCAAATTCAATTGAGTTAAAAACCAATTGAAGAAACCATGTTAATGATGGCCTCAAATGTCAATAGACATTTTGTTTTTTAAGCAACTGTTTTAGTAGCATGCAAATATAATGTAAAGTGTCATATTTTAGAAAATTCTAAAATAAGTGTGATATGATTACATTGTTTAACACAATTGATAAATGAACCATTTGACCAAAAACTTGGAAACATAGAGAAATTGAGTTATCAGTAATTTAAGTAATTTGGAATTATATGTTTCTGAACTTATTAACAACACTGTATAGTTTTCTGCTTTTCTCAAGGGAAAATTGTGCAAATTTGTCCTTTGCTGACCACTAATTTGGAATAGTTTTGGTAATGAATGAAAGTAAATTATGTTAAAGAAAATACAGCTACATTATTCACCATCGTGTTAAATAATTCTTTTCTAGTTTCAGTTAGAGTTTAAATCTTATAACTATGTTGTGTATGTTGTTTTAACTTATTTTCCCTTAAGTCAATCAGACAACACATGCCTATTTAAAAAATTAACATTGATGAGATTGCTTCTGCCAGAAACCTACATGAAACAGTATTTGTAGAAAAGGCAGTTTTTCACCCCAATTTCACTCCATTTCTATTTTAATACTATTGGGTTTTAGATATTCAGTTTAAAGCAGCATCTTCAGTGTTTCCCATCTGTTTTGGTTCTGCTGTGAGACTTTCACAGAACCTTTAGCGGTAGCTATATCTTCACACTAACGTGAACACCTGCTAAGTTGTTTAGGGCTCTAAAATTGCAAACCACTTTTACTTGTGTTAGCTAACCACATTAAATAATGACAAGTTGTGGTAAATTGACATTATCTCACTGGGAAATCATCTGTTGTGGAATCAGATTCAAACCTCAAGCTTTGTTTTCTAGTAAATGTGATTATGCTTTGCTAATGTCCCAAATTGAGGGCCACTCAAAACAAGTCATACTAATGTTCTATTAAATATCATTTCCTTCCTCTGGTTTGCATGGTAGAGGGGAACTTAAAAGAGTATGAAACCAAGGGCAGCTTTGACATGAGGACATGTGCCAACATAGTTTGATAAACTAGGAACAAATAAGGAAAACATCTAGATAGAAAGATGTATGTTGGTAATGAGACATATATTTAGATTAATACACCAAAATGACAGGTTTCAGTATTGGGCCAGTATAATTGTAACCTGATTCATGTGGCATTCAATATATATAAACAGGGACTTCCCTGGTTGCGCAGTGGTTAGGAATCCGCCTGTTAATGCAGAGGACACGGGTTCAATCCCTGGTCCAGGAGGATCCCACATGCCGCGGAGCAACTGGGCACGTGCGCCACAACTGCTGAGCCTGTGCTCTGGAGCCCGCGAGCCACAACTACTGAGCCCATGTGCCACAACTACTGAAACCCGTGTGCTTGGAGCCTATGCTCTGCAACAAGAGAAGCCACCGCTGTGAGAAGCCCGCGCACCGAAAGGAAGAGTAGCTCCCGCTCGCTGCAACTAGAGAAAGCCCGTGCATGGCAACGAAGACCCAACGCAGCCAAAAATTAAAAAAAAAAATATGTATATATATATATATATACATATATATGTGTATATATATATATGTAAACAGTATATTTTTCTCTGGTGTTCAGACTCGACACATTTTTGCATAAAGATCTTTGTGTCAGTTCCTCCTCCCTTGATTGTTTTTAAAGAATCAGCAATGTTTCAAGTTAATTTATGGACATTGTAAAATAACTTACATAATGTTACTTCCTAAAATGAGTAAGTGATACTGTTCAGCAAAGATGTAATCAAACAGCTATGGACCTTCATAATTTTTTTTTGATAGTTTCACAGTTGTTTTACTGTTACAGTTTATTACCAATTGAAGATTTGCATGTGATGATTGATATAGTATTCATTTTCATGCTGACGTTTTGATGACTTCCCTTTCTAGACTTTATATACTTCTCCTTCCATGTCTTTAGTGATTATGTTGAAGCATAATCCTCAGTGGGGTATTTGACACTTAATTCGTAATTCAACCCATGCATGTGAACTGCAGTAGTTTCTGCACAACACATAATAAACTATATTAACTAATATATTTTGGTTGTCTACCTAATACCAAAATTCAATTCAGGGGAAATAAATCAGTTCCTAGTTTGATACAGATCTTCCTTGACTAACGATGAGGTTACCTCCCAATTAACTCATCGTGAGTTGAAAATACCGAAGTTGAAAATGCGTTTAATACGCCTCACCTACCGAGCATCATAACTTGGCCTAGCCTACCATAAACATGCTCAGAGCACTTACATTAGCCTACAGTTGGGCAAAATCTAACACAAAACCTATATTATAATAAGGTGTTGACTATCTCGTGTAATTTATTGAATATTATACTGAAAGTGAACAACAGAGTGGTTATATAGGTACAGGATGATTGTGTTTCGGTTGTTTACCTTGGTGGTGGCGTGGCTCTCTGGGAGCTGTGGCTCGCTGCCCTGTCCAGCATCACAGGAATACCCTACAGCATATCGCTAGCCCAGGAAAAGACCAAAATTTGAAGTTTGGTTTCTACTGAATGTGTATCACTTTCACACCATCATAAAATCAAAAAATTGTATGTCAATCTATCATAAGTCAGGGATGCCTATATATAAAAGTCTGCAGCTTTCACTTCTCAAAAAGTTGTTTCAGCATTATGAAGATTTGGTTTGCCCATTATAAAATGGAAGTTTGTTTTATAGGAAAACTATTTAATTTTTTTTCATTAGTTGCCAAAACCCTAACATCAAAAATACACTAAAATTTTCTGAGGTCTAAGGCAGTGTCTAGATATCACCTGATTTGTTAATACAATGTTAAGCCATTCAGTCACATGGATGCTTTCTAATGATTTTGTGTTTAGCATAATCTAAAACACGGATGAAAAACATCTGGCCCTTAGCTTAATTTCATCCAATTCACAAGGCAAGTATCAAAGCTAAATCCTCATTTATGCTTATGGTTGGGAAAATGTGTCTTAATTTGAAAAGTGTTTGGTGACAGTTTCCTGAAACTCTATGTAAGGTACCATGAAAGCTTATTTCTCTTATTTCTGTCTTTGTAAGTTTTATTCTTGTATTCTGTATGTCTCTTTACTTGTGGATGCCACGTCTTCGAAACATTCGTGTTCATCTCTAGCACGGAAACTCGTTTTGTGTCGTGTGTCTCTCTTCCTTTTCTTGATGTATCTATGCCCATTATTTTATTTTGCTCCCTATAATGCAGGACTTGACAGGATTCTAAACTCCAATTATTTAAAACCTGTTGTACGTTTAACAGACACATATTCCTTGGTCTAAATTTTACATGCGAGTGAGTTCAAGTTAGAGTTCTATTTATAGATTCAAATCATGTTTTATTTATGCATTATATGACTGCTGTTTACTGTGGATTTCTGAACATCATTTTACTTTCAGTTGTCATGGAAAAAATATTTCCATGACAATTGAGAGTAAAATTGTAAAATATGGTAGAGAATTATGGTTCGAGGTAATACCAGGTTGGATAGATTTTAATTAGTAAAAAGCATACAAAAGAAGTAGATGACCTAAATCTGTAAACATAGCCCTTTATTTATCAAGCTAAGGTTTTAAGGAAGGGAATGTGAACTAAGACCTATAAGCATTTATCTATTTTTATTCCTTGTTAAGGTTATTACATTTGATGGAGGTTTCTTTTTCTCTCAAAGCCTTTATTCTCCTCTGTTTGATCCTTGGTGAAGTTCATGTCATCTCTCCATACCTCAGACACCTGCCAAGAAAGTCATTTTGGTAACAGATTTTGTACCGAGACTGGGTTTGGAGTAGAAAGTTGCTAAAGTTTTCTAAGGAGAAAGCACTCCCTTCATCGATCATGATTCAGGCTTGTCAATGGCAAGTCTGTGTGCCCTGAGTAGCTAGTAGCTGGAAGCTGCCCCCTTGCTTCTGTAGCACAGAGGTCTAGAAGTAGTGAAAAGGGAAACAGATCAGAGGGAATAACATGGCCATGGGGAATAACAGACATTTGGAAGATCCTGTTTAGACAGGATGTTCCTAAAGGGGTGGAAATAGGGCCATTGGGTAGGAGCTGAAGGAAAAGGCTTGATCACTTTCTCAAAGTTAGAATGGACCCCGGGAAAGTGCCTCCCTCACCCCAGGT